AATTAGTGCTGTTAACATTTACTTAATTAGAAACAGTTTCATGACGTTTAAAATTAATATAATAAAACATATTTGTGCTCTAAACAATCAACTTAATTAAACAGAGATTCATATAGTCAAATAAATGCACAGTTAAGCATAAACTTGCAGTTATAAATAAAATTCTTAAATTTCTGTTTGTTTGTTTGTAGAATTTCTTGCAACGCTACTTAAGGGGTATTTGCGCTAGCCGTCCCTAATTTTGAAGTAATAAGCTACAGGGAAGGCAGTTAGTCAACACCACCTAGCGCCAACTCTTTTACCAGCGAATAGTGGGATTGACCGTCACATTATAACACCTCCACGACTGAAAGAGCGAGCATATTCGGTGACGGGATTCGAACCCGCAGATTGTGAGTCGCGTACTTTAATCACCAGGCTAATATATGTGAAGAAAATTGAGGTTTTATATTTTGCCCACAAAAGCAAACTGCATTTCTTATGATGCATCTTAATGCCAACCATTTCTATATTACTATACAATATTTATTGTGGGTTTGATGTTTATTATCAAACACAAAGGGCTATCTGTGATCTGCCCACCACGGGTATCGAAACCCGGTTTCTAGCGGTATAAGTCCACAGACATGCCGCTGTGCCACTGGGGTGTATTTGTTGTAGGAAGAACTTTATCAGTGATTACCAAGAAAGTTTTATCTTGTGGAGTTATTTTGTTTAGGTTCTTAGCCTCTAAGTTATCGACTAGTTTTTTAAATGTATTCTTAGTTTTCTATTAAACTGTGAAGGGACGATAGTTTCTAAATGTGTTTTAGTTGTCTAATAGTTTGTCAGGTATGGTCAATCATTTTATGAATGTGTTTTTAGTTTTCTTTTGGTTCATCAAGGAATGGTCGACCAGTTTCTTATCGTTTTTTCTAATAAATTGTCAAGGACTGGCCGACCAGTTCCTGAAAGTGTTTTTAGTTTTCTATTAGTTTATCAAGGCGTAGTCGACTGGTTTCTCTGGCTTATCTTCATGGAGTCTGTGAACATGTAACTTGACACATATACATATCTGGCCAACTCAGTTAATAGTCTGATACGGGTTAGGACCCGGATGTGTCAGGTTCCCCCGATTCCACCAGTTACTGAACGGATGTGAAGAAAATTTGTCGCATACTTACAAGTGACCCCCAGAGCTACGGGTTGAAATGTTTTCATATACATTTCTCCTCTAGGGGAGGAGAAAATAAAATATGGACACTGGCGATAAACTGATGTAGCAGGACTTAGCGGATGTTAACCACATGTAGGATATCTCAAAGAGATATTATGATATCCAAGTTACTCCCTAAAGTATCAATATCACAGAAATTTATATAGGAGCTCCTTTTTTTCTCTCTTTCATAAGCTTCAGTTTTTACAGCAGACGTTAGCATCTTCTTTAACTCATTTTGAGCTGTAGTTACTGTGAAATTCGAACACAAGACTACTCATGTAACTTGGTATTTTACATCTGCTTAACTAAACCTCTTAAATATTATGTGAGTGAGTCTATCTTTTTTAATGGCTTCTTTAGTTCACAACTCAGCATCACTAACGTCAGTTTTTTATGTCAAGAAATTTACAGCTACTTAACAGTTATTTGAATTTCGATTACTTAAGTTATCATTACGAAGTTTGTGTCTAATATTTTTGAAACCTGAGTTCATAATGTAATTGTTTATCTGTTAATACAATTATTACTTTTAGTATTAGATAATCCACTTAACAAGAATAACTCTTGGTTGTCTGCACCAAAATAAAAGAAGTACTTATAATATCAGAAACTCCTTTCGCTCATCACTTAAATGTATGATATGTTAGAAATAAAAATAAAAGTCCATGTTTTTTTTTTTGTTGTTGTTGATCACAAAAAAAAATGACGACAAAATTCTTTACATTGTCATTTATTCTGTTTTTAATTTCGTCGTTTGTTTCTGTTCTGAACACTAATGATATGATCATCCCGGGTAAGGCAGCTACCACTGGCAGTTCTGAAACTACTCAAAATGTATTTTTCATTAGCGCTTATTTATAGTAAACAATAGATGTATGTCATGTATAGTAATTAATTAATCAGAATATTGATTTGTTTGTTGTTTGTAGTTAAGCATAAAGCTACACAATGGGCTATCTGTGCTGTGTCCATCATGGGTATCGAACCCGGTTAGAAGCCCGCTGACATGCCGCTGTGCCACTCTTGGGGGTCAGAACATTGAACCAACTATTGAAAAAAATATTTTTGAAACTAACTATTGAAAAATATATTTTATTTATTCTTTATCGTAAACATACAAATATTATTTAAAGAAAATGTTAATTTGGAGCTTATTAATTTCAAGTTAACACTGTTAAAGCACCTACTTTGATAATTTGGAGCTTATTAATTTCAAGTTAACACTGTTAAAGCATCTACTTTGATAATTTGGAGCTTATTAATTTCAAGTTACCACTGTTAAAGCATTTACTTTGATTAAACTCTAAAATTATGATTAACTGTGGAAAAAAATCAGCAAAAATATTACAGGGGGCGTGAGTTGTTTAGAGAAATAAAGAAATATAGTTATAATGAAAGTGTTGTTACAGTTCGAACACAAAGTGCTGCTAACGAGCTTATAACTGATGTCATGGTGTATTGTTTTTCTTATTGCTCAATAGAAATTTGTAATATGTTTCTAAATCTGGCATTTTGTTTAAGGTAGGATTTTGACAAACTAAACTTGAAGTACATTTGACATTACTTCAAGGTACTGAAAAACTGCATGCTAATTAATCTACAAAGTTGAAAGATGACAAAACGTATTACTAGATCTTGAAGAAATGTCAAACAAAGCTGTGAAGAATAAGAAATCCAGTGATATGTAGTGAATTTATAAAACATTCTAATGCTTGAATATAAAAATTCTCAAACGCTTGAGACAGTCAGGTCAAATTTAGTTCTATATATATATATGTTTAAAAATAAAAACGTTTTTCTTCTTTAGGGGTCATTACTAAATTAAAGAAATATGTGACAAAATGACAATTTGTTTAGATATAACATAACAAGTCAACATCTTAAGACCTAACTTACTGTGTCCGTTGTTCACCACTGAATTATTAAATTCATAATTGTAGCCATTAATATTACTGCAAGAAAAGTACTGCAGGATTTATCGTACCCACTTCCATAATCACTCTTAAATTACAGTCCAACCCTATTCTGTTTACAGTAGCAGGACATAGATAGCATTATAACATTTTCTCTGTTTTCAGCAGTTATGTGTGTTTGTGTATACAGTATTGTGCAAAAGTGGTAGGACAAAAGAATATTTTGTCACTTTCCATTTTATGAGGCTAATTCTTCCATGCCATTACAGAATGTAAATTTCAACACTATGGTAATGCTTCACTGATCCATGTTTATAACTGAATGAGCCACGGTGTGAATACTTATCATTCTTTAGAATTCCCATATAATTTTACCAAGGGCATGTTATAAGGTTTCTGCTTGAATGAACATACTGATCAAATTTAGGGCCTGAAATAGCTGTCATGGTACCCCATGCAGTATCTTAACTATATAGAAAGAAATTAAGCAAGGAGCTGACATATGGTACCAGTATATGCTAGAATAAATCAATTTAATAGCACTCCACAAATGAACCTTGATAAAAACAGTGCTTAATACTATATATATTAAATTGTGTTGTCATGTCATGGCCCAAAAAGCGTAGAGAATTGTCAGTGGAGCAGAGAGTTCATATAAATGCTTTACGTGATGTTGGTTGGACTCTCCATCAAATTTCTGCAGACTTGAAATGCTCTCCAAACACTGACAAGTACACCTCAGATCGTGAGACTGAGACAGGTAAACTTGAAAATAGGAAAGGAAGAGGCAGAACACCTAAACTCAATGATACTGATGTTAAGTATCTTCTTTATGCAGCCTTCGGGACAGAAGGAAGATTGCCACTGATCTCAAGCATGAGATAAACGACCATGTACTAAATGACAGAAAAGTGTCCAGATCTACAGTATCAAGAAGACTCAATGAGAATTGAATATTTGGCCACGTAGCAGTTAAAAAACCTTTATTTCAATCTCCAAACATTGTCAGGAGACTGAAATTTGCTAAAAAGTACAAAAACTGGACAGTTAATGATTGGAAAAGGGTGTTATGGACGTATGAGTCCAAGTTTGAAATTGGTTCAAAGCGTAGGTTGTATGTCCGGCAGAAGAAAGATGAAAAATACTTACCTGTATCTATAGCACCTACCATGAAGCATGGGGAGGCAGTGTGATGGTTTGGAGGTGTTTTTCTGCTGAGGAGACAGGAGATATTTGCAAAATAGGTGGAATAATGGACCAGTGCAAGTACCATCAGATACTGATCCATCATGTTATACCCAATGGTTTGCATATTATTGGTAAAGGCTTCTACTACCAAGAAGATAATGACCCCAAACATTCATCCAACCTATGCAAAAAAATACTTAGATAAGAAAAAAGCTGCTGGAGTCATTCAAATGATGCAATGGCCCCCACAGAGCCCTGATCTCAACCCAATTGGGCAGATCCGGGATTTGATAGATCAAAAACTTGACAAATCAAAAGTTACTTCTAAAGAAACTTTATGGGAGTTTATTAGAGACATTTGGAGTAAAATCCCAGAGGACACTTTAATTAAATATGTTGCAACAATACCTGAAAGACTGTCTGCAGTTATTAAAGCAAAAGAGGGACACAAAATATTAACTGTTTGCTGAACTCAAGCACTTCCACCGAGTTTCTGTTTTACTAAATATGAAGATTAATAAAATTTTGGTGTTTCACCTGTGATTTACCTTCACTGTTCTTTGAGAGTAGCCTGAAATCCAATTTTTAACTTTGTCCCAACACTTTTGCACAGTACTGTATATATATATATATATAAAAAGTATATACTGTATCTATATATGTATATATATATAGAAAGCATATACTGTATATATATATAGAAAGCATATACTGTATCTATATATATACATACACAACACAGTACTATTTATATGTACTGATAGGAAGATTTAAAGTTAGAGATATTCTGTCTCATGAATTATGGACGTATATACTGAAAGATCGTTAGCATTTATTGCTAGTCCATGTCTTGGAAAAACCTCAATTTCTTTATCAAACCATGGCAATTTTTTTATTTTTGAATAATAAATAATACACTAAAATGTTTTTGTTTTTTTCTACTCGTAAGGAGAAAAACAACAAAAGTACAGTTTCTTTGTATAAAAATATTATTATATATATTACATTAGGTTTTAGGTTGAAGTACTAGTTGATTTGAAAGTTTATGGTATCTATATGCAAAGATCAAACATCAATTGAAATACAAACAAATTATTATTTGTTTCAGCTTTTAAAATGTTATAAGAAATCATGGTTAACTTGAGGGAAAATGCTAAACTTTGAATGTCAGTTATACGAAATAGTGTAATTTCTTGTCATGTAAAAAAAAAAACATTAGAACTGTAAAACTGCATAAATAATGGCAAGGATATATATAAGATGGAAAGTGTCACGCAGGAGAATGGACATAAGGACCTTCACCAACAAAGAAGAACGGCAGCATGTTGACTATTTTCTTATTGTCACTGTCCAATAGCTTCTTGACCACAAATGATTTATATTGCATTTGGATCCTGCAACCTGTAATGTATATGGCTGACATTAGATTTATCAGTCAGATATATTTCTAAGGCTGAAATAATATATAATATAAGTTTTCTTTCCAATATCGTTATAAATTCAGGAATATTCACGTAATGAGATACACTAGGTTGTAATAATTAAATACGAATAGAAATTTAATAATCTTTTCAATCTAGTGTTGCTTACGTTCTTTCTAATTTTCCTGTTTCAAAATTTTGAACTTGTCTTTAGGATAACAAAACAACAACAACAAAAGTAGGTAGAACCAAATTATCGCTGAATGTGATTTTGTATAAAATCCCATTTCTTTGATTGAATTTAAGTGCAATATTTTTAGAATAAATATATCAAATTGATCGTAGTGTTGGAAAACTCTTAAGTTTTCGCCTGAAGGTCAAAATCAAGCCAAAGGAAAAAAAAATCATGGAAAAATACCTCATGAAACTAAGCTGAGTAAACGACATCCCTTAAAACTAGTTCCAGCGTCTCTTTTTGTTGTACTGTCTTCTGTGAATACCATTTCGCATCCTTTTTACGCCTAAAAAAAGAAGAAAATATCAAAATACTTCACAAGTTCCACCTTGAAAAAACAAAAAACATACAATAAGCCTTAGTACTCAGTTTGCCTTTACTACTGCATTTGACCAATTTTTATTGTGTAAATATACTTTAAATTTTGGTAAAAAAATAATGCCTTAGGTAAATGAACAGTTGAAAGAAAGCTGTAAAATTAAAAATAAATGCGAAAAATTTAAAATGAATGCTAAATCACCTCTGATTATTTTATATTACTATACTTTATAATTTAGAGTATTTATTGTTAGTGATATAAGGAAATTTCAAAACACGATAGAGAATTCAAGTTACTTACACATCTCCTCTATAGGTTTGAAATTTAAACCAACGATGTAGTATAAATGTTACAAAAATTAAACTCCATTTATTTTAAAGCCAGCTGGTTTATAACAGTCAAGTGAAAAATCTAAGTTATCCTCGAGCCTTTTAAAATACTTCAAAGAACAAATATATAAGAATACACCATGATTCTAATAGTCATTTATTTTCTTTTTTTGCTTATAGATGGTAAAAGTTAATTACCATGATTTACGAATCACCAGAAAGTTATCTTGACAACAGTGAAAAACAAATAAAAATTGTAGACTATATTCTTTTCAGTACGATTAATTTATGGGAAAAACGTAAGAAGCATATTTATACAAAAATGATGATGTTTTTCGATGAATACCAGTTGACTATACATAATAGTTAAGTTAGTAATACACTCACCTTCACAATTTATTGCGCAAAGCCAACTAGCGCCACCTGCCGTTGAAGCGCCCTCTAGCTAGTTGAATGAAACTATCTTATGATGAGTTGATTAGGTTGACGTCATTTCACGGTGGGCAAAAATCGAAACTTGGGAATAAGTGGCAGTGAAGTGAGATAAACCTATAAGATCATATCGAAAACGGACACAAGGTTAAGCTGAATCACAGTCCACATCTGTACAATGTTTTCTGTTTCTAGCAGTATCTTTCAAACCATGAACAAAATAATCAGTTTACTAGTCTTGTTTATCTTTCCATACATTGATTTCTGTATGTTTCCCAAACTGTATTTAGTCATTAGAATCAGGAAATATATATATATATATAAATTCTAAGAAGTCTGTCCCACTTTAATGGTCTATTTTACCTCATTCGTGTCTATTAAAATAAATACTCTATATATATATATATCAATTAGTTACTTGTAAATCACTCAAAATATGTGTGTAAAAATCTAACTTCATTAAAATATAATGTTGTTATTTCAAAAGAAAAATACAAACTAGTGGCTCAAACTAAGGAAATATCTAAAAATCCATTTATTAAAGCATAAGTGTACGATTAAAAAACTTTAAGTATGCTGCAACGTCATTCTTGCCTTGTTGGGTCTATTTTCGGGTCAAATCCTTCAAGTGATAAAATGTTCATCTCACTTCCAAATTTCGAATAACTGAAGGTTATCTGAAGGAGAAAGATACCATTCATATAGAATATATCTTCTTGTTTGTGATTTAAACCCTTTTAAGTGTTACAGATAATTCCGAGATACAAATAATTAAAAAGGTTGACACTTTAAAAATATAATTTCTACGTATGAAACACTTTTATTATAATTATAATAACTTATCAATACTTTTGTTCTATTGAAACTTTGGAAATGTATATCCTGTGGAGTTGAATTTTTTAATGGAATGCTCCTATGTTGCTTCTTGAGTGAGATGACGTTTCGGTCTCTAAGCTGAGGCCTTCTTAACAATAGAAAGTCTTATTATAGAGTCTGACTGTTATCTAATCTAAGGCGTTTAGAGCAATTCATTCGAAATTCTAACCCTACAGGTATTAACGTTTATTTGTTGTAACACTCGTACAGTCATATAAAATGTTAGAATACACACATATATATTTTCTATCTGTTCAAAGTGCTCCAGCATCAGTTTATATAATATTAGTGCATTTCCTAGCTTAGTACATATCAGATGAGTGCTCATAGTTTTATATAAATATTTAAATGATATCAAAGTTTTCAAATGGTTTATTCTTCAACACGTTAGAATCAATGTGTGTGTTTTTGTTACGTTTTCCAACTCCAAGGTATTGCACATGAGAAACTTAATGATGTCTACTCATGTGTGGTGTTTTTACTTGTCTTTTGCTCACCACAGTGAACCTATATCTACATAGAATTTGACGAATTTGTAGCACTGGTTCTTCTAATGTATAATGCCATTACTATAAGAAGACTAGTCTTTTTTTTGTTTTTTAACTTGCTCTTGTTCAGGGATACTGATTAGGGGTGGAATTTTCTCAAACCGCTAAAAGTCAGTGACAAATGGTCTATGGTATATAATTAATCAAGAATACAGTGAAACCGCTACTTTTTGGTATATACAAGTAATCATGAATGCAGTGAAATCACTGGATTCTGGTATATATATATATATATATATATATAATTAATCATGAATGCAGTGAAATCACCGGAATTTGATGCTGATATTTCACCCATTTGCAGTTGATGCTAATTCGTTTATATATATGTAATATATATTTATATATCGATATCTCTTTCTGTATCCAAAGTTTATTTACATTGTGAGCTATTACGGACAGGTGTTATGAGTTGAATACTGTAAAATATAGCGAGTAGTCTGTATAGTTATAGACCGTGTCAGGTATTAATAAACTACAGAATTGTTTCCTGTTAGGTAGAAACTGTGTATGAGTAATAATAGGTATTTTTTATATAGAAACATTTTATAAAGAAACACTGGCCCTTTTGTCCTACACAATAAATAAGGTGAAAATGGCGCCTAATAAAATCCACAAGGTGTTTGTGTTAACTTTTCCTGCCATAGTGCAGACATAGTCCAATGTTTCCATGATAGTTTGACAACAACGCTTAGCTACAGTTTACAATGTCCAAATATAACAATTTGCCCATTATAAATAAAACTCGAAAATTGGCGGATGCCTGTGTTTTTTCGTTTTTCTTATCTAAGTCACCACGCATATTATCTATGAATAAATATAGTAAGACTATGAAAGCTTGTTACATTGTTTGAAAGATAACGAAAACACAACAAAAAGTAAAAACAATCGAAGGAAGTATCGCTGCATCTGAACGGATCTATAGTAAAAGTTTTGGCATGCTTACTTGATCAGCAAAACTGCTTGACTTCATGAACTTCATCGTTTCTAGATGAGAATGAAAATGTTCCACAACGGTCAGTTTCTTCCTTAAAACGTGCTCTGAAAGGAAAAGAGCAGAGGTTAAATTTTCATTAACATCCCTTTTTTTTTATACCAGATCTCACCAACAATTTAAGGAATGATTCAAAGCGGCTATAAAATTTACATTGCTTGAGTATTAGAAGATTTAAATTTAATGAAATATAAACTTAACCGAAAAATCAAAACATACACATTACATTAAAATGCTGGAAAACGTGTCAAAAAATGTAATGTTTTATTTGTTTAATAACCTTTATTCATGCGTTCCCGAGCCTGATAAAAACAGCAGATTAGCATAATAGTGGTTTATATTATATCCCACATTGTTAAATAAGGTTGGTGTAGCTAAGCTTATTAACTTTCCAGTTTCCTAGAGCATTGTTTGAATGGATAATTTCTTATTATTAACTTGTGTCACGTAGATTTCGGACTATAATTTAGGTCCGTGAGCTATATAAATCCATTCTTTGTCGATGAGATGAAAACACTCGAATGAAATAATGAGTATTTGTACCACCAGAGGGAATCTGAATTAACCCTTCCTCCCCTTTGCTCCTCCTACAGTGTATTCACAATTATTTATCACCTTTGTATTATATTGTTTATAGTTCCACCTGGTTGGACAAGTAGGTCTATTCATTATTACTTCTTGTAGTCAAGGTGGATGTCGTCTTTTTAAGATGAAAGATATCGGTTAGAACATCAAAATGTCATTTGAAATTTATATGATATGAAAAATAACTTAAAATAAACTTGGACTTTCATTCCGTCGACTGTATAAGTGGTTTTCATGTAACAAACTATACCGCTAATCTAATAAACAATGGCATAGAACAATGAAGGAGTACAGTTAAGACTAGACTTTGGAAGAGAGCTTTAATTGATGTCGGTGATGTATGTTTACAACATTTCTTAGAAGACAAACATGAACCGTGCTAAAAAAACAAAAACAAAAAAACACACACACATACACAGCAGAAAGTAACTTACCGATAATATAGCCCATTGTGACGTCATCCGGCAGTCTTATTTTCTCACAAACGCTCATGAATTTTCCGCCACTAAAGACATATAAATAATCTTTTCTGAATATTATAGAAAAAAAACAGCCTCAAGAAAGTCTAATACGATTGTTGTTGTTGTTTTTTTGTCATTAACTCGTAGATTTCGTCTAATTACTAACGAAAACAACAACAACAACAGTAATTTCATTGTTAGACTTTTATTTATACATAACCTGGGCCACGAGGATAACTGACCCTTTTCATATTATTCCAAAAAGAAACAAAAAAAAATCATATAAAATCACTGCTACGTTTTCTTATCATGGAAATAAAAAAAATCATTATTCTCTGTCCATGAAAATGCGCCTCTACTTACTAACTAAGAGAAGGCATCTCCTGACAATGAGTATAGACATCCTACAATAATCCCTAACGGTGGTCCATGATAAGAAACCTTTTTAAACAGCCCCCTAGGCTTTGGCCATCTGGTAGACGTTGTGGTATAATCTTTCTACGTGACGTCTTTCTTATTTATAAGTTCAACAGTAGTAGTACACTAAGAAACTGCAAGCTTATTCCTTTACTGAGATTCATTTACTTCTTTATAAAAATATCATATATACAGTATTTTCTATAATGGTATTCCTTTCTCAAATATCACTGCAAACTATGTCACATTCTTGGTATGTGAGAATGAAAGAACGCTTCAAAATAGTGGTTACGAGAAGAGAAAGATAGAGAAAAGCAAAGAATGCATACATCTATATACGCCTGTATAGGAATAACCCCCTGCGGTGAATTTTTAATGGTATAGGTCGAGCTGAAGTGTCTGAAACCAGACGTCCAAGTAACAGCTGCCAGACGAGGAACACCGTTTTTCGTATCCCCTTTTCCCCTGACATCCCTTCCCCTGTTTTGCAATTGTGTATGGTAACTGTTAGAAAGTATACAATACACACCGCAGAGGTGCTAAACTTATCAAACTTTGCTGCAAAGTATTTTGAAATATTTTTTTGTTCAATAATTTGGACCGTCCTGATGCATGATCTTCAACTCATTATTAATATTAAAAAAAAAAGTAGGAATGAGTTAAATAACAGGTTTCAGTCAGTTGCTCGAGTCATCAGTAAAATATCTTTACTCCGCCAGTGATTTTCTCCTGGGAGTGTCAAGACTGTATCTATACAAGTTCAATAGGAAATTAGCACAGATTATGCACTTTTCTGGATACTTCACACCTCTTTGTTTTTTATCTTCTTTGTATGGCATAGGACCCAATTTGAAACATGTATTCCACAATGCTGGCTAACTAACATTTATGATAACACGTGTGTACTTATCGTATATCTAATGTTTTTAGCAAAACCCCAAACTAGTCGTTATCATGGAATGTTAAAGTAAACATAAGACAAAGCATGTAAATGTTTGCTTACCTTGCAATTGGCATCATTTTTAAAGCAAGGGCTTTACTTATACAAAAGCCAGCGCCCCCAGTAGCAAACCAAAAGGCGATTTTTTGCTGAAAATATTAGAAATCTGTATAAGAATGACATTTGTAAACAACTTTTTTTTTTTCATAGCAACAAAATAAAGAACAAAGACATGGCTTTGTACAAGAGCATCCGAAAATACTAAGTTATATTTTACTTGCATTATACTGATCAACGTTAATAAAATATATACAATCAGACATTAGTACGCCAACTCTGATACATCTGCATCTGGTTGTGTATTCGGCAATTTGTATTTCCTACGTAAAAACCACAACGTTTGTACTAAAAGTAAAATTAAGAATAATTAACCAGGAACGTTATAATTCAGTTACTGATGTGCCTATTATAATGTACAGATAGATGGTATTATTTTTGTTCTTCTGATTATTTTCTTGTGAAACCAAAAACACTCCAAAAGCTGTAACACTCGTACTTCCATTTTGGAGTTATAATTATGATTATCGTATATAGCTTAATTATGAATGAATAATGAAGGAATTTAAATATAATATTTATACATGTTTATATAACATTATGAATATGTGACACATTCTGTTAAGAGTTTATAATACCTGTTTACAGCGTTAAAAAACCAGATGGATTAACTCAAATGTTTGCAAAACATTAAAAGAAAATTCGATGACGAGGAACCCACTTTGAGACTAATAATGGCTGGAGACGGCTTAAATGGGTAATGAAGAAAAA